CATTATATAATGGATTATGTACATTTAGAATAATCCTTAATTTTTACTACCGACTTTGATATCAACTTTTTAAGCTTTTCCAAACAAAAACTTAATGCTACTAATTGATGCTGATGGTTATCAAAGTGGCCCTTCTACTAATTCAATGAATCAAAGATTTAGGCAGCAACTGGTCAAGTGGATAACTAGGTCATTAGAAAAAAGTAGTTGGATAAATATATCTGACTTTAGTGGTGTAAATTGTAAATAGTGCATCAGCATAGAGCAGGAATCATGGCAGCCGTTAACAGTGTTCAGGTTATGGCATTTCTTCTGTGCGGTATGTGCTACTATGCCCTTTACGAAAGGTTTTAACTTTTTACTTCATATATCTCCCGTGGACCAGTTAAGAAACTGATTCTGGTATTGGAGTAAGGCTATCGAAACATAATTCCGAAAAGATTTTAGTAAATGAATCAGTTCAGCATCAGTGTTATTATTCACCTATGCGTCGCTTGCTCTTGTTCTGTTTTTCCTTGTATGAAGCGACTTCCTGGAGAATCATAAAAAATGTTCCTAGTTATCACTTACCCCATCGCATGTTTAATGGCGGATCTAGAATTTACATTTAATACAGGACAACAGAGATGAACCAGGCATGGTCGAATTTTTCAAGCAGTTCTTGTCAGGTCATCCCTTGGCCTTGCCTGGACTCCAGGCAAGCCTAAATTTTCTATGCTTGACAAAATTCCTAAACGGGCTTTTTGCTGAGCCAGGCCATGCGTAGATGTGTCAGGCCTATGCACTTTTACAAATCCTTTTTGAATTTAAAATGAATGAACTGTAATTTTCTTTAAAATAATTATGTTCGAAACCACATGGCTATTTGCAGCGGTCCTTTGGCTCACAAAGCCAAGCTAGGCAGGGCAAAAAGCCCATTCCTATCTTCTTGAGTTTTGAACATAACGACATTTTATTAGACAAGGTGTTGTTTCGAGGCTCAAGACCTTTCTGCCAGGTCCCAAGAGATGTTCGTCGGACCTGTGTGTGCAGGCACACGTGAACGGTGGCCTCTACAGCTGAGTCTGCCATTGCCCAGCTATGGAGGCAGGCTTTTACATACCATTCGGACAAATTTTGATGCCTCTGATACAACAACGGAGGATTATTAAAGAATTCTTGTATTTCACACCAGTCCATAATTTTGAGTCCTATGAATTGCACCAGTCACAAAATCATCCTGTACTAAACTTTATATAGTAATGTAGTCCCAACTGATCAAAGAAGATGCAATGAAAGTCAGACATATTTTTGGGTACTCATTCATTGAACATGTTTTTTTTTTTAATTTTCTGAAAACAGGAATGTTTCTATCTGGTGTCCCAATGTTTCCAGCAATTGGGGCATGTCCACAATATTGCTATGACGTAGAATCCATGACTTGCAATGGCACAGACAATCAACCGCGTTGCAACTGTTGCCTGGCCGGAAAGGGCTGCACCCTTCACCTTGCTAATGGAGTGTCAATATATTGTTAACTAGTAAATGAAAGTTTTCGAGCTTGCTAATGTTGTGTCTTAAGGAGCTTGCCTAAATAATGAAAGTCTTTTGAAGTTGTGTAGAATCTTCAGTACTACAATGTATTGAATAAGTTTGATCAATAAAGTCTATTTAAGTTACAAGAAGTTTTTTTCATTCATATTTGCATAATCCTGAAAAAATGTAAATTTTTTCTAGCGAGAAAAGGTGGAGAATTGTCACAGAGAGAAAACTGAGGACGTAGTTGTTTTCTTTCTAATCTGTTGGATCCCAACAGTAATTTTCTCCTCCGATATACATAGACCAATTGTCGAAGTGAAAAATAGTAAAAAAATAATAATAAAAATAAGCCAGTCCACTGTGGTGTGAACTTAGTTAATTTATGCTGCAGTCTTGTAGAATAACTTGATATAAATATTATTGCAAGTTTGACAAAATACTCTTGCTGAATCTTAAATTGTCCCTTTAAACATTTTTATCAATCTTAATGGATTATTTTAATTTCTAGTTTTGAATTTGGATCAGGTTGACTTTGACTATAGTTAGTGGACAAGTTTTTGATTTAAATATATCAATAATATGCCCTTCATGTGCAGATTAGATTCATTTTTAAATAAGTTCTGACATGCGAAAAATGTTTACAAATAAATGATGGTAAACCTTGGACTCTGGACATTTATTTGTGAACATATCCAGTTAAAAGCTTTCAAATGAGGTTTCATATAGTGAAAGAGAACATAGATACTATGTTCAAGTTTGTTGCTATCCATTTATAAAAATTGTAACAATACGATTTTCAATGGCAACAGGGCGGGGCAACAACCTCCCCCTCCCCGCCTCGCCCCGTTACCCCGTTTAAGGCAAGGCGGGGCGGGCTTCTTACCCTGTTTACCACCCCCGTTTAATTATTTTATTTTATTTTAAAGTTTTTGATGATTTACTTTTATTGCCCTCATTCATTAGATTGAGACAAATAATTTTAATTATCATTTTTTATTAGAACTAACAAAATTTCGTGAAATTTTTCATTTAAAGTATTGAATTCTAAAAAAAAAAAATTTTAAAAATAAATTGGGCTGGGCTGGGCTGAGCGGGGCGCCCATTGCCCGTCCCGGCCCCGCCCCGGGGCAAAATTTTCAGTCTCGAATATTCGATTAAACGGGTTATCTCCTCGAACTATCAAGTTTATCGTGTTTTTTTGCCATCTCTAAAATTGTGAATGTGTCAAACCTTTAATATCTTAAACTAGGCTAAGTAGACTTGTAAACCTTATGTAATAATTAGATTATTTTTCATTTCTTGTTTTGAATGTTAATAGGATTGGACTTTGACTAGACACCATCTATTAGATATTTGTTCATATTATTTTCTACTAAATATGTGTATAATATCATATATCCTTTTTGGTTATAACTAGCGTAAGCTGGGCAGCTTCAGGGATAGCATAACTAAGAGTTAAGGAAGCATGGCTGGTATCGGGGCGGTGTTCGTGACTCTTGTTATCTGCGATATGCCCTTCTCATCTTCATGCCAAACTTACAATATTTAATACTCTCTTATTTTGTNATAGAACTTGTTTGTTCAAAAGTAGATACCTTGTATTTTGCAGATTACTTGTCTTCATGTGCGAAAAATGTGTACAAATAACAAAAACCTATGCATTATTCCTTGTTAATTTGGGTCGACTACTTGAAGTTTACAGCACTTCTCATTATGTCCATTTATAAGACGTCTACCATAACATCAGACCTTAATTACCTCCCGAATTGAGCAATTAATTTTTGGATTACGCAGTAGAAAGAATGTCATATATATGCTCTAGAGTCTTTTTTCATTATGTTCCCTTTTGGAGTTTTGAAAGAAGTCAAAGTGATGCTTTCTTGAAAAAGCTCATTATTGTTGTACGGTGTGGAGTCTAACGTACAATTCATGTGCTCCCTCAAAGTGAATTATTTATTACAAGGGCATGTTGGGTACTCCGTACATGTATGGGGTCGTTTTAATACTCGTTCTCAATAAATTATAGGGGAAATTAAGTTTTAGTATTTATAAGTAGCAATCTTCTTATCCATGATAGTGCAAACTGTTGTTAAAATTCAAGAGAAATCTTGATCTGGACTCAGAAAAATCAATTAAACGAACACCAAACCAAGGCTTGCTCAACCCACAACTTGCACTTCCTGCCTCTGTTTCACCCACTCCGGTTACCCTTTACTAACCCACAAAGGATGCTAAAGGTGGTGGTGGGTATAATATAGAAGAAAGGATAGAGCAACAATGGTTGAATCTCTCAAAACTCACCCCAAGACGGATGTCCCTTTCACTCCTCTCTCCATTGCGCGCACACACAGTTGGAATGAAAAGCCAAGAGTATATAGCATTAGGTCACCTCCAATATTGGACCATATGGCACACAAATGGGCCAACACAAAACCAAGGCAAAGGGGCTACCCCATAAATCAAAGCCTAAACCAACCAACGGGCCAAACTAACCAAAACCAAACACTACCCAAATATTTTGGGGAAATTATAAAAATTCAGAGGTTTAAAGTTTAAAGTTTACTTTTTAAAAATCAAGTTCAAAGTTTGTTTAATCAAAAATCAGGTATATATTAAGACATAAC